CTTATCTACATCAAAGCAGCTTACATAGAGTGTTGAGCTCACTCTAACGTAACATGATAAAAACTGACTAATCTTGACATTTCAGTTAGAAACATGATGGAACCTAGATGGTTACATATTAAACATATAGCCATGCAACCATGAGGGTACACAGCTGATACCTCTAATGTATCACAGGAACGTGATACATAGTAAGTGAGGTATATTAAGTGCATTCTGATTTGCATTATTTTGAATTAGATGGGGTATCAGGACATGACTCTTCGATAAGCTGAGGAGCATGTGCATGTCATATATGTCAAGATTGATAAATCAGGATGCAAAAGGTTATGGTTTCAGGAAAATGTCCTGTAAGAGTTCCTTTAAAAACTTAACATTTGAAAACTGTGACTAGATTTATAAAACACAAAAACACTAACTTCCTGGATGCTGCAAAAGTTTATCTTCTACACAAGAGCAAAATGCTGATCACAGTATAATGAAGACCCTAGTATTCCTTGAAGGCAAGACAGGTTTTTAAGATACTCAGCCTTGATTGGATTCTGAATAAACAGCAGATTAGCACATAACTAACTTTTGACCTTTTTTTTTTTTTTGCTGGGATTTGAGGGGTTTTAAAACTATTAGATGCATTTTTGATTTGCTGTATATTTGGAGAGTTACATAATTTTTTAATCAGTTATTCTAAACTGTTAGAAATCTAAATATCTTTCCTCCAAAAACATTCCTGAAAGGTCCACCAAAAAAAGATGTACAGCATTTTTTGCAGTCGCTAAAGCATACAGAAAAAGCAAGGAAGCTTTGTTTCCTTTGAGACTTTACATTGATTTACTATCTTTAAAGGGGCAGATGTAATAGACAAAGCCATCCCCACCACAGGCTCTTCCCTCCCTCATCCCCACACAAGGGCACACCCCCACCCCCTCCCCTACACACAGAAAAACACACCTATCACACCATGCACACAAGAGGGCAGACTCATCTTCTCAAAATATATACTTATAGGCCAGTAGAACACCTCCTTTCTCTGCAAACACATAAGAGTACATGGTCAAACCATACAGAATGGGGTATTTTAGACATTCCAACTATGAGCTACCCCTCAGGGCTTGAAGAGGATCCATACTCTTCCATTTTTCTGGGTCCCTCTCTGGATAAGATTTACAGTTGGGATCCCACCATTAGCTGCCATATGTTTATGGAAAGCCAGGGTCTATGATAAAGTACCGCAGTTTCCTCGGCCCTGGTCTGCAATCATTTTCAAATATATTCCATCCATCCATGAGGCAGAGATGTATTGTTGACATATTGTGCAGTGTTTGAGAAAAAAAAAAAAACTTTGTGAGACCTTCCTGAAACAAGACTTTTCCAATATTATAAAATAAGACTAGTAAGAATTTGAATCAGGACTAAAAAGTAAGGTGTAGTAAGGCATACACTAGCAACTGTTTAGGCCTGGGAAGAGTAATAAGCTTATACACTAATTCTTTGAAAGATAAAGACAAAACTGTAAGACAAAATTTTACAAAAGGAATTTTCCCACTGTGTGAAGCAAGACATTCAGTGTATTTACATATAGATGAAATGCAGTATTTTTGAACTGCATTCTCAGATGCATGATAGGACAAATATTTTCCCACCTTTGGAAAGATGAAAGTGCTTTTTCTGTACATGATGAAATGCTATTCAAAACAGGTTTTAACATGAAAGAACTGAATAGCAATGTCTATACATAAGCTGTAGATCATTTGTTCCTGTACACAGTACTGTGCAGAAGGCATGTGTTGAGTGTTGTTAAAGAAGATGCAACTAAATATTTGTGATATTGTTTAAATCCTTAAATTCTACTTAAATGGATAAAATGCTGTGGGCCCTTTTTACAAAAGTTATCTAGTATAAGCTTAGTTTCTATAGCTATGTGCTCTTTCAGAAGGCAGTCAGTCTGTGTCAGAACGCAGATGTATCTGATCTTGTGCGTGATGGTTGCACAGAAAGTTTCTAAATGCAAATCTAATTTCACTGTAGGTTGAGCTAACTGGTAACAAGGGAAGGGTTCTGCTTGGAAGCAAACTAGTAAAGTTATTCAGAAACCCATGCTAATATCATGTGCTAATATAACTACTATGTTAATATGCTGATATAATTCTGGGATCTGACCTCTTCTGGCCATGTGTCTTCATGAAAATGAAGTAACTATTAATAAGAAAATGTAGACAAAGACAAACTATTAGCAGCAAATCTTAGCAGAGGAAGCTTCAGATAGATTAGTTAATGCCTGTGCTTCAATTTACTGTGAGTTGGTTGTTAGAAATAACTAGTAAAGGAAAGCCGAGTATGATAGTTCACACATATGATCCTAGCACTCAGGAGACTGAGACCAGACAGACTCAAAAACAAACCAAGCAAAACAAAAACCTAGAAGAGCAAGAACTACTGACAGAGTGGCTCATAAGCTGACCCCTTCAACATTCCATTATAAAGAACGCTGAGAGGAGGATTTTACTCATAAGCTGTGAGTTAAAAAAAAATTTTTTTTTAGTTTATTGTGCTAATACTGGGGCTTGAACTAAAGGCCTTATGTTCTTTCAAGTCTTTTTTTTTTTTTTTTATGGGGCAGCCCTAGGACTCAGGGTTTGAATGCTGTCCCTGAGCTTTTTTTGCTGCTCTACCACTTGAGCACAGCTTCACTTATGGTTTTTTGATGGTTAATTGGAGTAATCTCATAACTTTCCTGCCCAGGATGGATTCCAATCATGATCCTCAGATCTCAGCCTCCTGAGTAGCTGGATTACAGCCATGAACCACCAGCAACTAGATCAAGTGTTTTTGCTTACAGATGCTATTCTACCATTTGAATCATACCTCCAGTTCTTTTTTGGCTAGTTAATTGGAGATTTAAGAGTCATGTGGGTTTGTCTTCCCGTGACTCTCCGATATCAGCCTCCTAAGAATCTAGGATTTCACGTTTGAGCCTCCAGTGCCACCTAATGCCCAGGCATTAGGCTATGAGTTTTGTGAATCATTAACCAATAACTTATGGACTTCCAAGGAATATACTAAAATATACCCAAGGTTTTTCTGAAGAACCATGGTTTTTAAGGCTGCTTCTCTATGAGCAACAACAAAACTAGTGGCTCCCACTGGTCACTGTTGTGACACTTTGAGCATGAAAAAGAATGGTATAAAACACATGAGGCTACAATTATACCCAAAATCTAAACAAATTATTTGTTACCATCTATTGAACCAATTTCTTACTTTGAGGTTACAATTAAATGGAAATAAAGTATTCAGCCTGCCTTTCCAGTAAGAACTAGTTGAAAATGGCTGAATAGCTCAAGTGGAGGAGGTGAAGTTGAGGGGATTAACCAGCTAGGAAATACAAAAAAATGAAAAAAGAATCCACAAACCTTAATAAAATTACTGATTTAGGAAGGGATCACCTGATGTTACAATTCCTGCTTCAGTGGTGAATGGGAAATTGGACATTGATGCCAACTCAACTTCATTTGGATAATACGTGTCCTAAAAGAAGAACTACAGTGCAAGGTTAGACTGCCCTGCTGACCTAGGTACTGGGTAGATAATGTAGATAATTATACAATTTCTTATGTGCTATAAAGCATACATCTTTATGATATATATTCTAGTGCAAAATGTTTAATTCCAATCCATGAGCCTTACGGCATAATTTCTATATTTCAAGTAGTGTAGGGAATCGAAGCTGAACAATAGCATGGGAAGCAACTAGACAAATGCACACAGTAGGAGTCTGTGAGACAACTGTCCTCGTCTCTTTTAGGCAAATGCCAAGAAGAAAGGAGCTGTGCTAGGTGAACATAAATTTAAAGGACTTAAGAGATATGGCTAGTTCAATGGAAGACGTTGCAAGTTTAGACAATTGGGAAATTTGAATATGGTCTGAAGTAAAAATGTTTTGGAATGAGAAAGTGGAGATTGCTGACTAAAAAAATAAAAATGGTTACAAACCATGATGTCTGATCTTATGCTGAGGGACAGTGCCCAGGCCCAGAGTTCAGGCCCAGAGTTCAGGGGGAGGGGCACTAGGAAGGTGGCTCAGTAGTAGAGTGCTTGTCTTGCATGTATGAGACCCTGGGTTCGATTCCTCAGTACCACATAAGCAGAAAAAGCTGGAAGTGGTGCTGTGGCTCAAGTGGTAGAGCCCCAGCCTTGAGCCGAAGAGCTGAAGAATAGTGCCCAGGCCCAGAGTTCAGGCCCCATGACCGACCAAAAAAAAAAAAAAATATATATATGCAGAGAGGTTGGAGGCAAGACTCAACTGGTAGAGCACTAGCCAATGAGCAAAAGAAGCAGGTACTGAGTTCAAGTCCCAATCTCTGACCTAAAAGAAAAGAAAATAATAATATGCAGAGAATAAGATGAAGTAGGATATGTATTAAGATGTTAATTAGTGGTCATCTCTGAGTACTTGAAATTTAATGTTTTCTCTTTTGCTTTTCTACTTTTTTCAAGGTGTCCACAATTCCCTTATGTCACTTCTACAATAAGAAAAAGTTATTTTAAAACAAGAACATCTAGAGAGTGGTGGCTTTCCTTTCTCTGTTAGATAACTGAGTATAAACGGCACACAGCCCAATTCCTTGAGTACAGACAGAACCAAAGATTCACTACCTTTCTGGTGACAGCATATCCCATTTGTGGGTAAAGTACTTACACACAGAAAATTTTATGTGCTTAGCTTGCAAAGATAATACTAAAGAGTCACAGAAATGTCACTACTCAGTAAGTGCAGGCAAGAGGCCACTATCTTTGAAATATTCAATTAAAAAGAACACAAGTAAGATACATCTTGCTATATGCATCATTCACCCTCCAAATCAAGCCTTGTCTACTAGCATTGATCCTTACCAAAAAAAAAAAAAAAAAGCTGGGATCTATTATTTCAAATGGATGGATGGATGGGTTAGGAGTTTTAGGTGAGGCGCTCCAACAACCCTCTCCCAGCCTGAGACCCTCTTCTATGCCTCAGGCGTGGTGGGAGTGGTGTTGGGCTCCAGGTCCTCCTGGGGAGGAGAAGCTGAGGCTTCTTGTTCCAGTGCCTCTCGATGCTGGCTGCCTAGGACTGCGTCATGGATACTGTAGAATAACAGCTCCTGTAAGGCAGGATTTTCAAAAAACCTATTCCGAGTGAGGTCATTCACTACTTGTGCTGGACAAAAGAAATAAGAAGAAAGTTATTTCACTTCCTTGATTTTGGTTCTCAACAGTAAAAGTAATACTTTCATATAGCATAAACATGAAACTCCAATCACTGTCTTCATCACATCATACCTCTCCATCCCCAGGAAGCTACTATTATTACTATTTGGTGTATTCTGCCAGGATCTCAATGCAAATATAAATATATATGAATATATATTCTGGCTGCTGTGATAGTGCACACCTGTAATCCCAGCCCTTGGGAGGATGCGGCAGGAGAATTGTGACTTTGAGGCCAGCCTGAGCTATATAATGAGAACCTGTCTCAAAACCAAGCAAAAGCAAAAACAAATATTTTCCTTATTACCAAAAAATACACTGAACAAATCTTTGCATTTGTACTTTTTAACAAATGACTATCTTCTGTTTGGTTACACAGATATAATCAAGTTTTTAGCTGTTTTTTTTTTCAGTTGACACTTGAGTTTTATTCAGTTGTTTGCTTTTATAAACAATTTTGTGATGACCAAAATGATATAGATGTACATTTTGCTGTACTTGCAGCATCCAAGGCAAAGGCATTTCTGCTCTTTTCCAATCATCCCTTCTGTCAGTCTCTCTGTGACCCTCCTGCCATAGCTTCCTGAGTGCTAGGATAATAGGTACGTATGAATTTCTTCTTCTTTTTTTTTTGTCTAATACTGGGACTTGAACTCATATGTAACAGTTATTTATTTATTTACTTATTTAGTCAGTTGTGGGGCTTGAACCTCTGGGCCTGGGCTCTGTCCCTCAGCTCTTCAGCTCAAGGCTAGCACTCTACCACTTTAGTCACAGCGCCACTTCCGTATTTTTTCTGCTATGTGGTGCTGAGGAATCGAACCCAGGGCCTCATGCATGCAAGGCAAGCACTCTACCATTCAGCCACCTTCCCAGTCCCAGACATAATAGTTTTGCACACTGGCTGGTGCTTCCCCACCCCCCCGAGTCACAACTCCAACCCCATGAATTTAATTTTTAAGGACTATTTTAATCAAAATATGATATAAAACAATAGCAGGCAAGGTATTCTAAAACCATTGCACACTGTACACATGAATGGAATTATTACAATGAATCCCACTCATATCACTAATGTTTGCTATTGCAAATGTAAAATTAAAAAAAAACTAGAATGCCAAGACATTCCATCTTAAAGGTGTACTCACCACTGCATCCTGCTAAATATACATAAATACCGACATCTCCGTATTCCTTTACAATCTGTAATAATGTTGAAATAAAGTTTAGTTTCTCTAGATTCTGCCACTCACAAGCCATTTTCTACCAATATACTTTTTTTTACCTTGTGTTACTCAGCTTCAATAATTAGCATTTTTAGCTAATCCGTGAAAAGTAATTTTGCAGTTAAAAAATTTTTTTCCCACAGTGATAATTAGTGGTATCAAAAATATTAAAATTGCTGGGCACCAGTAGCTCCTGCACGGGTAACTCAGGAGGCTGAGATCTGAGGATCACGATTGAAAGCCACCCACGCAGGGAAGTCCTTGAGACTCTTATCTTCAATTTACCACCAGAAAGCTAGAGTTCAAGTGGTAGAGTGCCCACAATGGGACAGAACTAGGCTCTGAATTCAAGCCCCAGGACTTGGCACAAAAAATATTAAAATTTACTTAGGTGTGGCCTTAGGTTTTTAAAAAGAATCTTATAGAGACAGACAACTGAAATATTTGACAGATGAAGTGATAACAGGCGTGTGTTAAAGTAAGAGAAAGTAGGTGAAAGGTATAAATGAAATCAGATTGTCCACAGATTTGTAATTATTGAAGCTGAGTGACAGCTACATGGAGATTTAGTATGCCATGCTCTTAACTTATGTATGCTTAATTTTTTTTTGCATAATCAAAAGTTGAAACAACAACAACACAGTGTGACAAAGGCCTGTAGTCCAATTCTCTGCAGTGACTGATATGAGAGTGGCCACAGAGAGTAGGGTCAAGGTGATGCTTACCCCTGCCAGAGTTTTTACTCCAACAGAATCAATAAAATTGACTTGTGTAAAATCCAGGATGATAGTGTGGACAGTCTCTCTGGGAGGCATGAATCTTTGTAGTTCTTCGGGAAATGTGTTTTTGATGACAATTGGAGGATATTTTACTTCGTCATCCTCCTCCTCAGGCTTAGTGCCATCTTCTTCAGGCTTGGTACCTTCTGCATCCTTTGTCAAAAATGAAATCAAATCAGAAGTCTATTTACAACTTTTGGTTTTGGATTTCTAATGGGAAATCAGCCCTTATGTCTGCAAGTTACTGCCTATGCCAAATTCATTCTGGAATATTTGTTACATTCAGCTTCGTAATATGACAAAATGTACATGTACATGTACAGAACACATAGTTTTAGCTCAACTTTTGTTTTGTTTTTGTTTTTTTTGGGTCTGAACTCTGGGCCTGGGGGCTGTCCCTCAGCTCTTCAGCTCAAGGCTAGCGCTTTACCACTTGAGCCACAGCACCACTTCCGGCTTTTTTCTTTTTTTGCTTATGTGGTGCTGAGGAATCGAACCCAGGGCCTCAGGCATGCAAGGCAAGTTCTCTACCACTGAGCCACCTTCCCAGCCCCTCAACTTCTTTTTCATCTCTTCCCACTGCTCCACATTTTTTAACCTAACACAATCTACACTTCTTAGTCAATTTCTCCATTTTGTGATAACTTCTAAAATGGTTCTAATGTGTCAAGCATGACAGCTCATGAGTTACCATAAATTTGAACAGCAAAAACAAGTCTTTGAGCTTTTCATCTATCAGCTGACTAAATCTATAACAAAGTTCCAATTTACCATTAGAGAGTGTGTAGTATTTCTTTTTTTTTTCTTCTTCTTCTTCTTTTTTTTTTAAGTGTTGCCAGTGCCAGTGACTCATGCCTCTAATTCTAGATCTCAGAAGGCTGAGATCTGAGGATCATTGTTTGAAGCCAGCCCAGGCAGGAATGTCTATGATATTTTTATGCCCAATTAACCACTAAAAGCCAAAAATGGAGCTGTGGCTCAAGTGGTAGAGTGCTAGCCTTGAGCATAAAAACTCAGGTACAGTTCCCAGGCCCCAAGTTCAAGCCCTGGGTCTGTTTTCCTCCTAGTTAATTTTTATTTTTTTCAAAGCATTGTATTCAATATTTATTTTAGAAGTATCCTCATAACTAATCTTATGACATACTTTTTTTTTTTTTTTGTCGGTTGTGGGGCTTGAACTCTAGGCTTGGGCGCTGTCCCTGCGCTCTACAGCTCAAGGCGAGCACTCTACTGCTTGAGCCACAGCACTATTTCTGATTTTCTAGTGGTTTATTGGAGATAAGAGTCTCATGGACTTTGCTGCCCGGGCTGGCTTTGAACTGTGATCCTCAGATCTCAGCCTCCTGAGTAGCTAGGATTACAGGCGTGAGCCACCGGCGGCCAGTTTATGACATACTTTCAATGCATAGAGGATAGAGTTTTTCCATTAGTAACTTCATGCTGTGCTTAGGTTTCAACTATGAGGAAAGATGGAAGGCACTGCAGACCAAGAGACAAAGAGAAGTAATCGTACAAAGACCTCAACTCACCACTTTGACCACTGTCGCGTTGGCCATATTTGCATTTCCGACCTCCTTAGCATACTTTCTCATGGCCTTTCTTCTTGCACCCATTATGAGAGCTGGGTTCACTCCAGTCTTCACAAAACAGCAATGTTATAAAATCACTTCATAGCTGCCAGGGAACCACTCAAATTCCACCAAATCTTCAATTCTCTCCCCATGGAACTTTCTGTGCCTAGTCCGGTTCTACCTTGCCTATGATAACCTGAACTAAGTTACTCCACTAAGAAAATATTAATAGATTTTCTTAATTTTTCTTTTCTCAAATCATTGAAGAGAAGTTTTAGAGTGCTATTTACCACTTAGGTTTCTCAGATTCTTATAATTAAGACTTTGTCAGTTGATAGTTGGGGTTAAATTATAAACAAAACCAAAGAAACCCACATATCCCCCAAAGAAAATTTAAGATTATTTTTTCACTTTCTTTTTCTTTTTTTTTGGTTGGTCGTGTGGCTTGAACTCTGGGCTTGGGCACTGTCCTTGTGCTCTTTAGCTCAAGGCCAGCACTCTCCTGCTTGAGCCACAGTGCCACTTCTGGTTTTCTAGTGGTTTATTGGAGATAAGAGTCTCACGGACTTTCCTGCCTGGGCTGGCCTTGAACTGTGATCCTCAGATCTCAGCCTCCTGAATAGCTAGGATTACAGGTGTGAGCCACTGGTGCCCGGCTATATTTTTTCACTTTCTTAAGGGAACATATATGCACATGTTATTTTAAAAAATGAGTAGTGGCAATAGCTGCACAACCATACAAATGTATTTATTGTCACTCACTGAGAATGTTTAAATGGTAAATTTAGGTCATGTATACTTTATCACAGTCAAAAAAGGAGGGAAATGTAACTCCTTTAACCAGAAACAAACCATTTGACAAAATGGATATCAGGATGCTGAAACATGGGGAAAGACAGTGGGGGGGGGAGGGCTAAGAATAGAAGGAGGCACGGTGAGCAAATATGGTCATTATATTCAATGTACACTAAGTTCAATAAAGAGAAAGAAAATAAAGGAGAGGGACAATGAAATGGCATGATAGTGTGAGGGAGACATTCAAACGGCCCTGCCATCCCAGCCAATCCAAAAGTCCCCTGCTGAGAGCAAGGACTAAGAATTTCTTGTGACTCACCTTTCTTATTAATGCATTGCTGTATAAGTCACTATTTGCATAGTAAATTGGAGCATTTATTTGGAATATCTTTATTCCAGGAATTTCTTTCACCTGAGAAGTGAAACAGAGAACACGTTCACATATTAGAATGTATGTCAGAATGAGAAGTGCCATTGCCTCCCTCCTCCAAAGTGAGCATGAATATAAAAATTGGGAAGGCTCTCCTCTACCCCCTTTCACTTTTTCTTTTTTGTCTTGGGTAAAAACACTTATTAGACAATCACATCGTACGACATCTTTATTAATATACTGGAAAAGGTCCTACCTCCACGTATGCGTCTATGTCAATGTACACGTCAGTGTCAGGAAGCTGTCCCAGGACTTTGTAGCTCGGACTAGAGACAGAGAGTGACAGCATGTGATTTAAACATGGCGTGTATAGATTTGCTAGTAAATTCCAGGATGCTTGATCGTGGCCTGGTGCCTTGGCGGAAGGTCTCATGCATAGCATATTCCCAGTGCCATTCTGTTGTGCATGGAGCGACACTGTGATTATTCATGGGAACTGAGGTCCCTCTGACTGGGGAAGCTGGGCTTCCAAGCATGAGGATTTCAACAGGCAGAGGAGGCCTGGGCTGTCTTGACTAGCCAGAGCACCCTGGCACCTGATTTGTGTAGGCTTCAATCTGACTGCTCCCGGCAAAAGTCAGTCCCCATTTACTTTCTTACTGACACTACGGGTAAGGGAATCTCTTTCATAAGCTCCCATGGGTTTTATTACAGTATCTCTGATACTTACGGTCATGCAGTACTTCACTTACACCTGCCAAGGCACATGTAATTATATTTCACAGTTATGATGGAAGATGATAAACTGTGGCCTAAATATCAGTCTCTAGATTCATACAAACCCACGTCTGTGTCATTGTCACATTACACAGTGATCTTGGGAAAGTTACCCAATCACATGAGGACTTAGTTTCCTTACTGTGGAGTAGGGCTAAGTAAGAGTCTTTGGGTTGTTGTAAGGATGAAATGTAAAAGTATAAGTATTTGTAAATATCTGACAGATAAGTAACTGATAATTTAGCACCATCACTGCTTCATTACCATTATTTGCATTATCATTATTATGTGGCTGTCATCCTTAGGGAAATGGAACCTTTTTGGAGGGAAGGCCTGTGTCTTATTTACTGCAATATCCTGAGAGTTTAATGCCTTCCTTGGAACATAACACACTCAACAAATATCCATTTTATTTAAGGAAAATTATAATTACTTTTACAGCACCAAACTGTAAGCTCTCTAGGGGAAGAAGTTAACACTCCATCACATTTCTAGTATCCATACTGTATGGGTGTGGTGCTTAGGACCTACTCGTTGAATGAAATGATTGTCTTGTAACCACCTCCTGATAGGTAGCAGCTGATAATAAACAAGCATCCTGAGTGATGGCCAACCCCAGCAAGACCACCAATGAGTCAGGCACTGTGCAAACGTCTCTACATGCCTTCTCATTTAAATTTGCGATAACTATTTAAGGTAGCCAGTATGAGTCCCTTCTTACACATGCAGCATGGAGGTTATGTTTAATCACAGAGCTCACCCAAGTATAGCCAAGATCTGAACCCAGTTTCATCTGATTCTAAAGTTCTCTCTATCTTTGTGGTGATGTTTTTTAATGCCAACAGAATATTTTTGAAGTATTTGATACCTAACTTACTGGGCTTAGCTTCCTCCCAGGAAGAAAGATGATAGGTTATAGTGGCCCAGAATAGAGGAAGAGTACCGAGGGAACTGCCACACTTCTAGCAACTTTTTTCATTAGTTATTTTCACTCTATGCCAAAGCTTACACTGCTGTGATCCTCCTATTGGTGATTCCTCTTGTTGCTAGGGATGACAGAAGTGCACCACCATGCCCAGCCATCCTATTTTCCCTGAAGTTTAGAAAACAGGTACACACTACTACAATCAACTTTGAGAACTTCTTTTTGTCTGGACTGGCTTTGATCCTAATGCCCTGATCTCTGACTCCTGCATAGCTAGAAATACAGGCTGGGACACTATATGGAGCTTTTTATGTGACATTCCATTTATTTAGTCAGTGGGCCACATGAATATTATACCACTCACACTAACTAATAATAACCAAAGGACTCTACTTTCAATAGCTTATGCTTAAAGTCAACCTTGTAATCTCAGGCAGGACACTCACAGCCACTTCAAGATGGATACCCACCTCTGTGTTCTATAAATCACAGTCAGCAGAGCAATGATGACAGCAGTAATCAAACCGTAGTCCAATCCCAGGAACAAGGAGGACACAAAAGTGGTCAGCCAGATGGTCTAAGTGAAGGTCAGAACACGTTATAGAGAAGCAGGCTAAAAACTCCATAAGAATGAAGCACACAGGGGCTGGAAAAGTGGCTCAGTGGTAGAGCACTTGCCTTGCATGCCTGAGGCCCTGGGTTCAATTCCTCAGCACCACATAAGCAAAAAGAAAAAAAGCCGGAAGTGGC